ATTACATGGCCTCACAGTTGCAGGGTTATGTTGGGATCTGGCCTGGAACGGGTGACGTGTCGTTATGTAAAATGTGCAAAAAATAATTGTTCTGAGATGGAAATGGAGCGGAGCAGCCCCTCGACACCTGTGTCACCGTCCTTTTATCCTCTCTCCTTGGTTTGGCCCCCCTCAGGCTTGGCTGTGCTTCCTTGTTCCCTGTGGGGCCCAAAGAGTCAGTCTCCTCCATTTTGGGGCAGCCCCTGGGTCGGTCCCCACCATTTTGGGGCTCTTTAGGCCCTGGGTCAGTCCCCTCCATTTTGGGGCTCTCGAGGCTCTGGGTTGGTCCCCGCCATTTTGGGGCAGCCCCTGGGTCAATCCCCGCCATTTTGGGGCAGCCCTTGGGTCAGTCCCCGCCATTTTGGGGCTCTTTAGGCCCTGGGTCAGTCCCCGCCATTTTGGGGCAGCCCCTTGGTCGGTCCCTGTCATTTTGAGGCAGCCCCTGGGTTGGTCCGCACCATTCTGGGCCGGACCAGAGGCTGACTGACTTTCTGCTTCCATAATCTGCAGCTCTGGAAAACAAAGCAATTTCTTACCCATTCCTGAAAATATTTTATAAATGCTTAAATATAAATATAAATATTTTTCAGTTCAACAAGTTCATTACAATATAGCACAAAATATGATGGAACTTTACATGGAAACCAAACCCTCTTTCTGGTTCCAGAAAAAAAACAGTAATAAGGATTACAAGCAGTTTTAGGTTGCTTACTGTGACTTACTGTGACTATACATTCTGCTTTCTGCATTCGTTTATCTGGTGCTCTTAGTATCAAGCTGAACTTTCTTCATTCTTGTTATCTTGTGAATTTCAAAGAGCTGATGATAACAATTTTTAAGTCCCATGAGGACTTCAAAAAACTGAGAGGCTTTTATGTGTCCTGTTTTACTAGCATTTTTTGTTGGGCAATATATGTACTTCCAAGCTGAAAAACGTGTTGGGAGGCAAAAATCCAGAGTTGCACAAGAAGATGTTTTGATTGTTGTTTTAGTAGATTGACTTGCATAAGAACAAAAAATATGACACAGAGCAGGAGGGAAGAACTGTAGAAGTTTTCAGTGATCCACAGCTTTCAAAGATAACATATAAAATAGGCCCCTGTTCCAGCAGGTAAGTGATAAGTTTCAGCTTTTGAGGGTAACTGGTTGTTGTCAGTCTTTTAGTCCCAGTCTTTGATGTGCACCAGGCAGGGAAAGTGAAAAATCTGCCCTGGGGATGGCGTATTTTGCAAATATCTGCTGCTCTGCTCAAGCAGAGCTGGATGTACAGCTCCCTGGAATCCATGCTATTCCTGAGACAGACCGGTTCCAAGAGGGCAATGAGTTAATTTTGGATGGACACCATTCCCAGGCAGAAAGTTGTTATGTGTGCAGACACACTGAAGTCTGTTGAGTGGTGGTCAGTGTAGGCAAGGCTTTCTCAGGGCTATGGAGAGGGAGCAGTAAGATCAGGTCACCTGGAAAGGGCAGGCAGGGAAAGGTGGGAGGGAAAGGGAAGAATGTGTTTCTTGCTCTCTAACCATAGGTGTATTTTGGCACTGCCAAGGTTGGGGATGGAGGGCCCTTATCTACAGAATTCCCCAGTGCTACTGAAGGAGCCAGTTTTCCATATACCTTAGTTTGCCTGTGCCATGTCCCAAGGATGAGCCAGCATTCCTCAAGTGTCACAGGAGAACAGTGTGTGTCTCAGCCATGTCATCAAGGCCAGGATGTGGTTATGCCTTCAGGTGAGATTCTCTTGGATTTCATGTGCAAAGAGCAATTGCTTTGTCTGTCACTAAACAAGTACCGTGTCCCGAGGGATGGAGGTTACCAATTGCACTGGAAGAGCCCAGGCACAGGGATTCCTGGTTTTAAAAGTGTCAGAGATCCTAGTTACAGCTGCGACCTGAACAGTTTCTTTGTGGAAACAAGTTTGCTGTTGTAGATTGTTACAGTTTCTTACCACAGCAAACATTGTTGCTCCCTCACACCCAGGAAAACTGTTGCACTTCAAACACAGCCGCCGCTTGAAGTTAAACCAGAATACAAATTCCTGCCGCTTGCAGGGGCGTGCTTGGGTTCAATACATCCATCTGGGGTTAATCTCTCTCTACGTCAGAGATTACTCCTTCCCTGCATCCCAACAACCACACTGACGCAGGTACACAGGTTCATTTTAACATGAATTTCTCTAAAAAAACCCAGTGTATTTTTACACAGGGAAATCCTTTAATTGAGG